TTTATATATTTTCATGTACATTATTATAGATTATTGTTAGCAGAAAAACACAGTCCTCTGATTGGTTGTTTATCACAGAAAGTTATCCTTGCATCTCTTTGTGGCTGTTTCTTGAATGTCAGATCATCTCTGTGTTGGCTGTATCCGCCCACGCAAAGCTTTTGTCCTCATTTTCCTCACGACCAATATTTGGGACATAAAAATTGGCGTAAATTACTGTCCACCAATTTCGGCTAACAGCCAGCTCTCACCACATTGGCACACCTAGTGGATACGCAGAACACGACTGATAAATATTCAGCCTTTACCATTCTATACAATATACCATTGCATTTCTTTAGGTTCGTATGACTTAGATTGCTAGGCAAAGCTGACACAGTCTGCGTTCAAAGACAGTTTTTAAATTCTCTCTCCGTCTCATTGCCTTCACCAACAACTTAGATTAGCTCCCTATCCTAGTGGCATCAGATGACAATAAGTATTACTTTTGTTTTTACCATCATCTTTATTATCACTGTCATACTAAGCTACAATTGCATATTTTAATCTTAGTTTCACAAATTCCTTTCTGTCCCTGGAAATGCACATATTCTCCTTACGTATTCACAATGGTTGGTTAGATGGATTACGTAAACATATGCGTGAGTTTATTCTTGTTATAACTGTTATTTCCAAGAGCTAGCTTGCAAGGATTAGATTTGTTTTTTCGAGTTTGACCACGGATTGATATCAGTTAGAGAACCATTAAAAACCAGGGTGTACTGGGCTAGTGTTACATCCTAGTTTGGGCATCAAATATCCGGACTTTAATTCTGTAAACTACACTGGTTTCAAATACGAGTGTTTAACATTTTATTATGCAACTGCAAAACCTGATAAAAAATATCCTCGAAAATGTGTTTATTTAAACTGTGTTCTCTAAAACAAACCAGGTTCTATTAATGCATAATATAATATGAAATTGGAAAATCAAGGAGAATGGGATATTTGGATGACGTAGATTTGAATAGATATGTTAATTAACAGTAAATCATTACATCGACAAGCTATTAAGTGAAATGGAAGTCTTTACAACAACCTCCGTTCGGTCAGTGAAGGTGTGAAATCAAAAAAGTGGACCACAAAATCAAGAAAAAACCTAGAATACAATAAAAACATTAAGGTAATGACCAGAGTAGGGAAGGGCTAACTGCACTATGCTTGTGTTTATACAGGTTAGGTTGTAACCATTTGACAGCGAAAGCTGCTGAAGAACAAAGAAACTAAAGATTATTGTGAAAGGTTAGCTAACACCTATTGCATGTCTGGTGTTATCAAGCGTCAAGCGATTGCTTTTGCCTCTTCCTTACCTTTCAGCGGAAGACATATATGCTTTGTTAATCAAGAGTGTATTTTATTCATCAGAATTGGGATTGCTTTCCAAATAAAAGTCTATCAATTTAGTAGTATTTCAGACATATACAGTCAATTAACAGTAGAATTTCGACTAGGCTTTAATGTATGCTGGCTAACCACAGCTACTTTGTTAATTTTCAAACAACATTTTTACGAATAACGTAAAGCAAAACTTGTTATTCGTTAACTTTATGATAATATATTTTTTTCATGGAGGATTTCATCTTGAGCTGACATCAGTTAGAGAACCACTGATGATGAAATCCTCCATGCAATCAAACAAAACCCCTACAAAACCAATACTTGAAAATATATTTTTTGTTTTGTAAGGCAATATTATTCAGACAAATATTCAAAACTAGGGAGCAAGAGTGGAATCCCTCGGCCTAGTTTGTTAATCATCGGCATCCATAATCTCATAACAAGTTAGTCCCAAGATTGTCACATATTTGACTTTCGTAGAAATATAATTTTTAAACCTTCAATATCTTTGCTCACATTTAAACTCAGAATCGTTATAACTTGCAAAACTACTGCAATATAACGGATTTTATTTCGTTCCACAGCTCCGACTTCAAAATTTGATGGTACTCCTTTTGATACACCTATTCCCTCATGTCAGTATGAATTAAGCAAAAACAACTGTTTGAGTATAACAACATGACATCATTCTATTTTTACGGTTGCTCATCAGCTGCATATAACCCAAAAATTTGTTAAGTATATGTAGAGAAAAATTTCAACATACTCGCAAAAGTGGCATAATGTCAGTTACCGGAAGAATAACAAATATAAACGCAACCTAGAGGTTACACCTAAATAGCTTATACACAGAAGGCTCAAGTTTTAAGTGGGGGGATGTTTGGAAGCATTGATAAGAAAGCTGAATAGTAAAGACAAGAAGTGAAATAGCCCGTAATAATTAGCTTGTAAACTGCGTAATCATATAATAAATTCAACTCAAATCGTAGGGACGAAATTATAATATAGCGACTGGGAAGAGGAAGGATCACGCAATCAAGTTAAAGAGAGAATTCAGAAATCGATTTACTAGGACAAAGAGAGATTGAGAACTGCTCCTTTCTGAACATGTAAGTGGGGCTTTATGCGTCTGATAGCATTTGCTTCAGCTAACTCAAGGAAAATGGAATTAAATTGTCTGTTGACTAACTTAATGAATTTCAAGGTGCCCTGCATCAACGGAATGACAGACAGGAGCAAATACGTTGAAATTTGTTTGTACACACGGCTCATAAAAAATCGGCATTTATTTTAATTTCATGCTGCTACTAAGTTATATCTGGGTTACATATGAAATTGGCATTTTTCATGTATAATTTCCACCTTGGTATTTCTCATCTTAACTGGCCAATAAAAATGTTAACCAGATTTTTTATGGTTTAACCAGATGTCTTAAAGTCTAAACAAGAAGTATGAGCGTTACTTTCACCATTAATTATATACAAATTATTCTATTGTCATAAGTTTATCTTAGACACAGGTAAGCCAATAAACAGCTTTGAGAACACCAGTAATTCACCTTAGATCATATACTCAGTGATTTCCTCTAATAACTGAATTCCTTCTACAAGTTTATCAGTACGACCAGTAATCTAAAAAGGCGTTACATTAAGCTAGACTAAATTCTGAGGTGCTGCATAACGTTACCATTATACGAGAGCTTGGTTAATATGCTATTAAATGAACCAGTGGTAATATTTTAACCAGTGTTTTCAGTAATAATTTTTCTAAATTCCCATGGCATGACTGATTTTCTCGGGGATTTTGATAAACTCTGATTACAAAAGTTTGAAAGTAGAACTCAATTAACTGAATTCCCACAGATTTTTATGCATACCTTACTAAACAGAAATAATGAAACATTCGCTTCATACATTGAGCTATAAATATCTATTAAAATAATATTCTTGTTCGAATTGTGGGTTTTGTCAGGATTAGAATTAATTCCAATGTCCGTTTCCTCACTAACCAACATCAACCAGAGAATCATTGAAAACTGGACAGGGTTGGTCCTAGTTTAGGACTTTCTCTTGAGTTTCAGTTATTCTTCAAGAGATGCTCCCTCGTGACGAAATCCACAATGAAACATTCCTAATGACATCGTATTTTCTTTTTGTTCTGCATCTATCTACTTAACGATAAATGTATTTATGTTTTACGGGTTGATCACGGATTGATATCAGTTAGAGAACCATTGAAAACCAGGGAGTACTGGACAGCTGCTGTTTCATCCTAGTTTGGGAATCATCGGCAGTACGCACCCACTGGGATTCGAACCCGGGACCTTCCGGTTACAAGGCAAGCTCGTATACCATTCAGCCACTGGGACCCAATTCAATGGTATACGAGCTTGCCTTGTAACCGGAAGGTCCCGGGTTCGAATCCCAGTGGGTGCGTACTGCCGATGATTCCCAAACTAGGATGAAACAGCAGCTGTCCAGTACTCCCTGGTTTTCAATGGTTCTCTAACTGATATCAATCCGTGATCAACCCGTAAAACATAACTAATCCTTACAAAACCAAACTATAGAAATGTATTTATATTGATTTTTTCCATATATTTCGCATTTAATTCACACTAAAATTTCATTTTGATCACATATCGTTAGGAGTATCTTTTTATCACATGTTTATATTTTCTTATTTCTTTAAATGTAGCTTACTGATAGACACGACAGTAAATATTTAGCAAAAGCTATTCCAGTTAACGCTTGAGAATTATTCTCACTGGTAGTGATGTACACTCCATACAAACATCTTTTTATTTATTTGTTTTACTACACTACTGAACGTAGTGTTGTGACCAGCGAAATTTCTATTCTTCATCACTGTTTCTATTCTTTTGTTCACCATTTAATTTAGTGAATTCACAACCTTAATTTATATATAGACCAACGAGGGCGTTAGATTTTATTCAATATTTGACAGTTGTGGTATGATTGGACGATACTTTTAAACCAATCATTGGCTTGCCCTATTTATTTTGATTAGAAATGGCGATGCAATCCGCTTTTCTTTCATTTGTGGATTTCTGTTTGCCTATGTTGATGGATTCGGATTATTACAGCAATTGTGTTTATGGATAAATAATTTGTTATTCTATCAAGTGGAGAATTTCATTTCAAAATTTACATTTTGTGGATAATTAGATGTACGAATATAATAGAATATAAAGTGTGAAATATATATATATATATATTGTGTACTGTACAAGCTGCCTACCTAGTCACACATTTAATTTCACTTATTAATGCGATCATACTAGAATTTTGTGACCTGATCTGCGAGTGGTTGCTGTCTTTACAAGTGATATATTTACTTTGTGGATTTATTTTGTCTACTTTTTAACGCACATCGTTTTTGTACACAAGCTGATTGGATTTGTCATCGTATCGCGCGACTCAAAAACAAAGATTAATTCTACGGATATACTGGTTTCACCACGCATCGAGTGTTACTTAAATGTAAACATTACGTGGTGTGGTTAGAGTATATACTTTCTGAAAAAACCTACTAGAGCGTTTCATCAATCTGGTCGATTTCGTTCAGGCAGAAGTCTCGAAATTGTGTAAATACAACCGAATATGAAGGTGAAAAATAAACGTCCATATAATAGATCAGAAACGTCTACACGTAGTGGAAACAATAGTGCAAGTGTTAGTACCAGTAATTCGACATCGTCTCTACCTGAGAAAATTACTGAACAACTTGACAATCCGAATAACAACTACACAATAACTAACACCTCGACTGTAAGTGGTTGTTGTGGTATTAACAGTATCAACAGTCGTAAAAAGTTATCTGATCAATCACCAAAAGGCATTAAAACACGTCACAAATCAAATAAACACACAAATTCATCTTCCATGAATAGTGCTACTACAACTAATAACGATAATGTTGGAGTTGGTACCTCTTTGAAGATTACACATCGTGGTGGGCGTACTCATTTATCCTCCATAAATACCACTGCTAACATATCTAGTATTATTGGCAATAATAGTAATAGTACCGTTTCTAATACAATACGACTAACTAACTCTAAATCAGGTTGTTGCTCATCCAATAATTGTTCTTCATCGTCAACATCCTCAATTCTCTCTGGTGGAAATAGTGAAACCGTAGATCCATATGAATTTGCTGTAAAAACTGATGAAACAACCAGTCAGGGTGGATTGAATGAAAGCTTATTACCGATTAAAAGATTGAAATTAGAAAGAGTAAGTCGACTGTATTAGTTGCGTTTTTTAAAAGCATTTCATCTATTTCAAAGTTAAACATGAAAAAATATACTTCAAGATGTAAAATTTCTACAAAAGGTGTAAAAGTTCACAGCTTATAACTCTGGATGACATCTGTACAGAAATGTTTCCTTTCGTTGTAAATTTTGACTGTATTATTGCAGTAGTTCATGTGAATCACTTAATCTGTTTCATCACAATGTGCAGGCATAGCGTTGACAGTAATTTCTCCACAGTCATTTAGGTATTAAATACTTCGAATTCTGCCTTGTCCTATTAATTTAGGTTTCTCTTTCAAGACACCTATGTAGACCAATAAACTCAAGCGTTTATGTTTACTTGTTGCCATTGTTGTTTTTGTTATTGTTCAAATAGTTTTTAGTATTCAATGCTGGCCAATTAGGTATTATTATTATTATTAAATATGTGGAATGTGGTTACTAGAGCTTAGAAACTCACCAAGTATTTTTTTAACTTCTGTAGTTTTCTGTAATCTTGATTACACTTCATATTTACACACAACAATATGACGTTAGCGAAATCTGTTCATTTGTTAGCTCCGTTTACTGTGATAGTTTGATTTCCATTTCGTTAATTAATTCATCCCACTTATTAATCTCATACTAATTTGAAGTTGACTCATGAAGTTAATTGTTTTCACGAAAATATAAACAATTTATCAGGTAGAATGAAGTTCTCAGTAAACCGTAAATTGTTCAAAAGGATGTTAGTTGTTTTTCTAGTAGCTCTATACTTTTGTTTTCATTCCTTGCGAGTTTTAAGAGTGTGTAAACTGGAAATCGAACCCGAATCACCTGCGTGACTGTCGAGCATTGTACTATTGAATCATACTTCTTAGCTGTCTAAAAAGAAACATTAAATGTTGCAAGAATACGTGATATTATCACACATTAGAAATTAAAAGTAGCTGTTTTATTTGAGATAGGTGTGAATTTTATTTCTCGGTATTAGGCTTACACAAGTGATTCAAGTTGGCATTTTGTCATTTCTTCGATGCAGCAAAGACTGGATGTCTGTTTAATCGTGTATAACAATAATGTGAGTATTGTTGTCGAATAACCTATTAATGTTAGATAAATTTTAACTTAGAAATGTGTGCGAAAAATGAAAAATGTAAGTAGATAAAAGATGTGTGTATGAGGGAGAAATGTGGGAGATAAAAAGGAATAAAAGGGAACAGACAGACTTATTTTATACAGTATTTTGTACTATTCACATTAAATTTAGATGATGGATAGATGTATTTATCTTCCTTTTATATTATTCCTCATATGTTTAGTAATTTTAGAGACAATATTGTACATTATTTTAAAAATAATTCTGTAAAAAAAGGATTTCCTTACATGTATATGATATTTATTATATTGCAATACACTGTATTCCCTCTAGTTATTGAACTATCTATTGTACATGTATATAAAAACCGATATTCATTCATTCCCACAAAATTTGTTTTTCGGGAAAGTGTACATTTACTTAATCACAGACACGCACATGCATACAATATGCTTCTAATATTTAATGTATCCTAAGCTCAAGTTTTTCTCATGGGAATACATTTGGTGATGCAGATTTTGCACCTTGAACTTAGTAACACTTGTATCTGATGCAAATTAAGAACAACATAAGATTGCATCACTTACTACTGATTGACTCATATTAATTGTTGAAAGTCAGTCAGTTCCATTAACCAGCATTCTACATTTTGTGAATATGACTAAAGAATTGGAGGAATTACTTTAGTAACTTAATTTTATCGGCTATAGCACGGTACGAATTAAATATAAGATTAACATGGAGTGAGATATCAATAAACAATATGTATACTTAAAAGAATGCAGTGAAATATAAAGGTAAATGAGAAATCTTAAGGGTGTTGGAGCGCATTTCTATGCAGAAATCAGTGAAGCATTATGAGATCACTATAACTGCCAAACTTCATCTTTGTACAATTTTTCTACATTGCACTCAATCATATTATTCTCCTACATTTAAGTATCCCACTCATTTTATACTTTATCTAATTCTGTGTCTTATGGTTAATAAAATCCGAATAATTCTGCTGAAGAAGTTGTGGTTACACAGCGAGACGTCCAAAAAAATCTTGTTATGATTTTTTTTAAATACGCTGAGATTATTTAAAATAATTTGTAATTACCCACTCCTGTCTGTAATGAATAATAATGAAATAATGAGTTTGACCTTAACCCTTTGTGGGTGTTTTTGTTGTTAATTTCAGCCTAGGTCGGTCTTCATCCTTCCTATTCATATTTTTTTTCACCTTTCGTTTTAAATAATTTCTAGCCTCACTGAAAGGCAGTATATGTCTTTATGTGCGTGTGTGTATTTGTATGTGTATAGGTGGGACCATACGCGGATTTATCATCTGTCTTTTATCATCTATCTTTGATAAATCTTCTTTGTTTTACGTTTACTTTTGAATAACAAAATTTATCAGCTAGTTAGATGATTATGTGTCAGAGGAGAATAATAACATTTGATAATCAACAATTAAACTGTTTGACTGATTATCTGATTTTTATTTTTGTTACGATGAGTCATCATTTCAATTATACAGATATTTTTCTAAATATACTCATCGATATTATTCTTATTGTTGCTGTTAGTTCGCATGTTTGGTATTAACATTGTGTTATCTCTATTCCGGTTACGAAGATGACACACACACACACATTGTCACCACATCTTTTTGCAATCTGCAACAGTGCCTCTATTTTCTTCACTCAGATTTCATGGAGTATTCAGTTGTACAGTATATATTCAGACCACCGTTTGAGCGATTTTGAATTCTCAGTCATGAATGTCTGTTTGTCTACTTTGTTGGGTTAAGATCATATTTATAGGACGTTAATTAGAGGGTACAAATGCAATCGAATTATTGGGTAGAGAATTTCATCATGAGCTGACATCAGTTAGAGAACCAATGGAAAACCCAGGAGTACTGGACGACTGTTTCTTACTAGTGGGGGACTCTTCAGCCGTACGCACCCACCACAGGGGTTCGAACCCAGGGCCTTCTGGTTACAAGGCGAGCTCGTAGACCATTGAGCCACTGGGACCCGATCCAATGGTCCTTGAATTCTAACTTCTGCCAATTCACGACATAGCGCGACCACTTCGCAATGCCTTCTTCGATGAGTTACTGCCTCATCTTCAACCTGCTGTACCCTACTGGTCACGGTTTCCCACTAGAAGCCCAGGTTAACAGCCTGAATAGGGCCAGTCACTAGTGAGCATCAGATTAATTTTCAAGCATTGGTTTTGTAGGGATTTTGTTTGATTGCATGGAGGATTTAATCATGAGGTGACATCAGTTAGAGAACCACTGGAAAACCTGGGAGTACTGGACAGCTGTTTCGTCCTAGTTTGGGACTCTCCAGCAGTACGCACCCACCGGGATTCGAAGCCAGGACCTTCTGGTTACAAGGCGAGCTCGTAGACCATTGAGCCACTGGGACCCGATCCAATGGTCCTTGAATTCTAACTTCTGCCAATTCACGACATAGCGCGGGCATTTCTCAATGTCTTCTTCGATGAGTTACTGCCTCATCTTCAACTTGCTGTACCCTACTGGTCACGGCTTCCTACTAGAATTATGTTCGGATTATGGATCATGGAAATAAGACAGCTTGTCGTCATCGGGGTCAACTAACAGCTGTTTCGTCCCGGTTTGAAACTTTTCAGTGTAGCTCACTAAATTGAATGTGAGATAGGAGGTAGTTTGATAAAATAAAGATGAAGGTACATTGCTGAGAAAACACTCATGAACTACTCAGACTGACTACGACACACTTGATGTATGTTTCGCCCATCTGTGAAAACATGGTACTGCGAGAATAGTACAGTCCAAGACCAACAACTTGGATTGTGGTTAGCTACTAGAAGTGAATGGTGACGCATAATTAAATTCATCTGAAAGCACATAATTCGAATATTATCCACTATATGACATTTCGAACACAACTTAGTGTTCATAATCACCTCAGTTGTTACGAAACAACTTCGAAACTGGAGTCTTATAGTTCTCTTGCTTTCCCATTTCTCGTAAGGGCAGTAGAATTTTCCAGATGTCCAGGACAGATGTTGAATTATTCCTATTGCACGGATTCTCATTTTATTTAATCAGGTTTCAGTTATTAACCTTTATGTCTCTCTCCACACTATTATACTGAATTTTAAGACTTTGTTGTGTCCTAATGTATACTCGTGTATAACCGCTGAGTTTTTCTCTAGATTTCTTATTTTATTACGGTCTAAAATTTTGTACTAAATCAATCTAACTGAATCCTGCGGCCCATTTTGACCTATGTATTTGATTTCACAGTTATTGCAGGTCATTAAATAAGCTGAGTCATTCTGTTTAATGGGTTCAAGAGGATCGTCTAGTCTACATAATTTATTTCTGATGGAGTTTATGATTTCAAATGCCACTTTTATTCCCACCCTTTCAAGAATCCTATTTATGATTTCATAGCTTTGCTTTTTTTATGGCAGTACTACTAATGTTTTAAATTCTGTCTTCTTGATGTCACGTTTCTGTATATGCTTACTATTCGTGTCACTCACTATTTGTGGCTTTTTTACTTTTATGATTTCCTAAATACTTCCTGATTAATTTATCGTGTCAATTATTAGGTGTCAAAGCTTATCCTATATGTCTTACTTCCTTCCATAATTTTTTTGGGTACTGTTCAGCTATTTTGCCCTATCACTTAAACATTTTAGCAGAAGTGGGGATTAACAGAAATTTAAATATCTGCTTCATTGGGCGTACAGGATTCGCTGTGGATTTCTTAACTTTATTCATGATATAGGCATGGAACTTTTTTAAGTAATCTGAGTTAACAAATATATTATCCTTGTTATTCGCAAAGTTTCTTGAGGCTTCTGTATCTGGTTAAGTTGTTTTCCCCTTTTCCATCGTTCATGGTATGCTA